GACCCGAAACCCCCCCGTTTATAAACGGGTCAACCATGGGTTGACCCAAAAATTACCCATTTATAATCGTGCCGTGTTCGGGTCGTGTTTTTCCCGTGCGGGTTTCGAGTTGTGTAACGGGTCGAGTCGGAAATTGCCATCCCTACTTGACGGTAGAGGGCAAAGCGAGACACAAAACATCAGTTAAGGGGGCAAAGTGGGTCAATTTAACTTTTAGAGGCCAACTGAGATTTGACTAAAGTTTCAAGGGGCACTAGAGTAAATAAGCCTAAATTTTATTAAAGAGAACAAATTGAGATGACTAAAATTGTTCTAGATATCTATTAATGCTATAAATAAGCTTGTTAAATTTGTTTAATATTAGAGGTGGGCATTTAAACCTGTAAACCTAGTATAAAAAAAAAGGGGGGGGGAATCGAATTGACAAAAAAAGTCAACCTAGACTCAAAAATCAAAACTAACCGTTTTGGATCAGTTCCTATCTAGGTTCTTGTCTTGAAAAAAACTAATCTAAATCGAATCAGACCGGTTATGTTAAGTTTACTTATTCATTTATATCAAAAATTACCAGTAAGACTAATTAGTATTCAAATCAAGCACATTAGTAACACCATGTAATATCTATATATATTAGCCCAATTAATATCTAAATGTCTTTGTTCCAATTTATACCCAACTAAATAACAACTCTAGCCCCCACTTCTTTTTCTTTTTGGCGAACCATACCCGTTATTGTTGCGCTTACCATCTTACTCTATTTTCCATATTTCTCATCCTCCTTATCTCTTCTACCTCTTTCACTCTTACTTTATCTATTTCTCCTCTTCCTATTTCTTTCTTCTTCACATCCTCATATTTATTTCATTCAACACTGGAAATCGAACCGAGACTGCATATGTCTTGTTTGGTTCGGTTCTTATATATATTTTAAAAATAAAAGTAAATTTGAAACGAATCGTATGTAATTTCCAATTACAATTACATTTCGATGGGAAAATTGGACCAAACTAGACTGCACCCACCCTAATTATATATGTGGCCTTTACCTTGTTTGGAATAAGGTACCAAAACGTCTCATCAAAAAAACAAAAAAAAGGTACCAAAACGTCAAAATAATAGTTGGGGTCCTTGAAGGGTCCACATCTATGGTGTAGGACTCAATCACAAAGAGTTCTTATCTCAAAAGTCCTTATCAAGATAAGAACTTACATGTAAGGAAACAACACTATTTTGTTATCTTTAACTACGAGTGGTGATTTCCCCACTCCAATTTTATCCACTTACACTCAATTTTATAACTAAAAAAAGAGTATAAATGGATAAAATTGGAGTGTGGAAATCATTATCCTTAACTAATTATGTACTGTAACATGGAATTAATATCACACGCGGCAAAATGTGAATTGTATTTTTTATTTTCTGTGTAACAAAAAAAGATGTACTACCTCGCCCAAACTCCGAAGCGAGTTCTGAAGAGTTAGTATGATCGCATCCAAAACAGTGTTATTAGTGTGATACACAAAAATCTAGCTCTTCATATTCACCCGTCACCAACACAAACCACGCGCTCCCTTAACCAATACAAACTACATGCTGCCATCTGAACCGCTCATCTTACTTAAACACGACGCATTTTTCAGTGTGTGTTTCTCGCCTTCTCCCTGTAGCGCGTATAATTGTGAGCCGTCATCCCTCGTATATAAGCCTGCAAATTTGGGGCTATTTTCCTCTTTTCTTGCTTCACTTTACTTGCGCATTCGGTTTCTTTCTTTTCAACCCTCTCAGCAGATCACAGCCTTCGAGAGTGTAGGGACGGCGATTCTCCGACTAGTAGAAGATGAAGATTTTTGTCAAGACTCTCAAGGGCACTCACTTCGACGTCGAAGTGAAGCCTGAGGACACGGTTAGCCTCAATCGTTCTGAATTCAAATTTTTAAAATTTTTAAATTTCATGTTATTTTTTTTTATAAAATTTTCAATCGCGCATTATGATCGTAATTGGACTGTTTTCTAGGGTTTTGGTATCGAATTTCTGTTTGTTTCGTAATTTGGTAAAGACTTAATGTGCAAGCTTTAACAGGTTTTTCTGTTTTTGGCTTGTGCACGTCAATTGGACTTAGGTTTTTGCTTCTAACACGTTGTATTTTTGGTTTATGGTGGAATTGGAGTCTTGGAATTTACGCTTTCCTTGTTAAATTACTTGTTCCTTATTTTTTTTCTTTCTTTTCTCTGTTTATCGCAATTTTCAAGTGCTACGGTATGGCAGACTTTGCTTAATTATAGAGTACATTCAGCTTTCTAGATGCAGGAATTGTAGTTCGGTGTGCTTATAAATTTACTTTGCTATAATTACTGACTACTTTGTCTAAATTACATTATTGATGACTAACCACTACTCCTTCCAGGTTGCTGATGTGAAGAAACAGATAGAAACTAGTCAAGGTGCAGATGTATATCCTGCTTCACAACAGATGCTCATTCATCAAGGAAAAGTACTTAAAGATAGCACAACATTGGATGAAAACAAAGTTGCTGAAAACAGCTTTGTTGTGATAATGTTGACAAAGGTATTTTTATTTTTGTATTTGATGCTTTAGAGTGCCATTTTCCATTTAATAATAATGGTCTAAATCTACCTTTTAAAAATAACACTTGACCTAGATTTGTAGGAAAAATGTTGTATATATCATGTACTTGTTTTGGATTATGTTGGAACATAGTTTTAGCTTTAGGAAAGAGGGATCAAACCAAGAATATATTGGTTACAAATGAGAATTCATACTGGCACCAGTGAGCTTATAAACCATGTTGAATTGAATTCTTGATAAAGTAGTCACAATAGGCGAGCTTGGAAGTAATAAATAATACAGTGGTGACAGTAATTATGCTTTTATTATAGCTAATGTCTTGCTAAACAACCATCATGGAAACGGAATTTATTATATGGCATTCACTACTTTTGAAATTTCTATTTGGTGCTAATGTCTTATTCTTGTATTGTGATTTCCCTGTTTATTCACGTCTGGTTTAAGCCCACCTCCTGTCATTCCCTAATGTACAATTTGTTTTACTTGAAGTTGGTGATGTTGTTTTGATTGCCCTATTTGGTTTGCATCTGATTTATGCCAACTATTTGTGGTGTTGAAATTCCTTCTTCCACCAGATAATGTTGCTCAATCTTCAATTCTTTGTTGGTTTAGAATAATGACAAGTTGTTTTGACTTACTTTATATACCTAAAAATGCTAGAGTAAGAGCTCGTCTGGTGAAGGTTCAGGTGCATCAACTGCTACTACAACTAAGGTAAGACATATTTTTTTCATTGTTTTTTCAGTGATTTGTTTTCTCTGTGGAAGGTGCGTGGATGTTACCACTTGCTTTGGTTCAAATTCTTGGGATTCATCTATAGTCTTATGTTAATTTCTATTCTTCACAATTTATCTTTATAATTAGTTTTTCATTCAATACAAATTGGATTACTTCTGTTATATTTTAGTTTCATTAGAGCTGAGATACTGTTAAATGTAGAGTTGGTCCGTGTATATACTTTGATTTGCTTGTTTGACTTTAGAAGAAAAATTATGAGCCTGAGATTATAAAAAGAGAAAAACCTTACACAGACTTAGTGAAGTAAACAAGCTCAATAACCCAGATCTATTTGCATGCATGTCTGGACGAACTAAAGCTTTCCTTTTGTTTTATGTTGGGCTGTGAGTGTAGTTACCGAGTGTTGTTTTTATGTGCAGGCACCACAGCCAAGTGCACCTTCTGCTGCTCCAACTGCGACATTAACAGCACCTCAGGCTCCAATACCAACCTCAGCACCGTGAGTCTTGTTTTGTATAAGCTTTAGTTGTACCAAAAGTATGATATTCATCTTTCATTATACATATTGTGTTTGTAATTTTTCTTGATTTCTCAGGCCTGCTTCTGTTACCACACCTGCTCCTGTCTCTTCAGCTACCACAGAGTGAGTAATTTTGTTCCTTCCGATGATGCTTTCAGTTTGAAATCTGTAGCCAATGCCTCCCATCGCTTCCTCATTAAGTTCTTCATTGGCTTTATATATTCTTTTGTTTCCTAATACAATTCTTTGTAATTGTTGAAGCAGGGTAGAATCTGATCCATACGGCCAAGCAGCATCTGATCTGGTAGCAGGAACTAACTTGGAGGGAACAATTCAGCAAATTCTGGATATGGGTGGAGGTACTTGGGACAGGGATACTGTTGTACGTGCTCTTCGTGCTGCTTTCAACAACCCAGCGAGAGCTATTGACTATCTTTATTCTGTAAGTGGAGATATTATTATGAAAAATTCAGGAGTTGCTTTGCTCTCTTAGTTATATATCTTATACATCATGATTCTCTGTCAAATTTTCAACAATGGTAACAATGTTGAGTAGTATTGTAGAAAAAAGAGTTGATAAGAGTGGTGATTTTCAGAACCAAAAAGCAGTGGTTATTCCTGCTCTTTGATTATTATTGTCTCTTCCTTTTGATGCCAATTTGGTATTTCTTGAAGGGTATCCCTGAGCAACCTGAAGTTCCACCTGCAGCCCGTATTCCTGTGAGTGGGGAAGTTGCAAACCTTCCGGCACAACGTCCACAATCAGCACAACCAGCAGCCACTCCACCAAGCGGACCTAATGCCAATCCTTTAAACCTTTTTCCACAGGTACTCATCATGCAGAATCTGGAATTAATTATGGTGGAATAATTTTTCAGTGATACACATGCCTTTTATGGAAACAGGGCCTTCCGAACGTGGGTGCTGGTGGTGCTGGTGCAGGCAATCTTGATTTTCTTCGTGACAGCCAACAGGTCATTTATCTCCCTCTCTCTGTCTATATGTTTGCATGTGCATGTGTGTGTGCATTCATGTATGAATGAACCCACACTTAAACATTGTGGTTTTTTTAACTCTCGATTTGGTGTTGTTTGTCTCAGTTCCAAGCCTTGCGAGCTATGGTGCAGGCTAATCCACAAATATTGCAGGTACTTCTTCCCAACCCAAATGTTGTTTAGTCACCCTGTTCTTTTGGCGATAATTCTTCTATTTTTGTTACAGCCTATGCTTCAAGAGTTAGGGAAACAAAATCCTAATCTTATGAGGCTAATTCAACAGCATCAGGCTGACTTCCTTCGCCTGATTAATGAACCTGTGGAAGGTGGAGAAGGGTAAGGAGTTTACTATCTTACCTTTTATGTACTCTTTTAGTCTTTGGGGTTTGTTGTTGGTTATGTGTATGTTACATGATTATGTATGTTTATCTTGCTCATTTGTCACTTTGTTTTAGGAACATATTGGGCGATGCAGCGGTGCCGCAGTCAATAAGTGTCACTCCTGAGGAGCGTGAAGCTATAGAACGTGTAAGTTCTCCCTTTTTTATATAAACACTATATTTAATACATGCAATGCACCTGAAATGTAGCTAAAATCATGTGTAATAACAAATTTGAACTTGATTTGAAGAATACTTTTGAGATGAAAACAGGAAACACTGCCTAATCACCTCATTGAACAAAGTTTATTAAAAATTCATCGAGTGAAAAGTTTATTTGTGATTTCCATTTAACCAATACCCTTGGAAGTATCTGAAAAATGAGAAAGAAGGGAGAGATCTAGAAAAACTTGATGAATGTCCAATCATTTGTCTCGAGGGTTTGAAAGTCTTCAGTTTTGGTCCAATCATTACTGATTTAAAACAGTGATTTTCATGAACTGATTTAGCTTTATGGTTATGGTATCAGTGTTATGCTTTGCACATTTGCATTACATGTGTTTTAATTCTTGCTAACAACTTATTACCTCCCAAGGAGTTGTGTGTATTGGACCTTAGAAGTTTTAGTTTGCTTATTGTGGTTATTTTGTATCCACTTTTTTCGTAAGGGACTTGTGGTTTCAGTGGTTGTAAGAGTTCTAAATATCTATGATTTATTCCTGTTGTTCTTTGAGCGGACAATTTGCGTTCTTATTGATGATATGTTTATGCTTGCCAGCTTGAAGCAATGGGATTTGATCGAGCAATTGTATTGGAGGTTTTCTTTGCCTGCAACAAGAACGAAGAGTTGGCTGCCAACTACCTCTTAGACCACATGCATGAATTTGAGGAATAATCTATGGAATATCAGCCGTCCAACCCCCTGTTAAATAAAAAAAGAAAAAAAAAAGAATATAAAAAACCCTCTTCTCATGGCTTTCTTTTGAATTTTATTGCAATTTTATTTTCTTTCACATTTAGCCTTTTTTAAGTTTGGAGTCTGGATTATGTGGATTGTCTATAGTTTACTAGAAATGTCAAGTCAGAACTTTCTTTCCAAATCCAATCTTTCATTTCCCAGGTACATGCAATTTATTTTTATTTTTATTTTCGGTCGATTTCTTATGTTGTGAATATGATTAAGTTTTTAACCAGCACAATTTCTAGTTATGATTTGGGTGAAAGTCATACATCTTTTCCTTGTCATTTTTATCACCGCATTTTTGCTTGGAAGCATAGGGATTGAAGTAGAGCAACAATCATTGATCTGGATGAAGGAGAACACACATATTTTGACATGGACAAAGGACTTGCCTGTTGGTGGTGGGCTGGCTTTCTCCACCTTAATATTTACAGACTGATGACTTCCCTCCTTTACCCACAAGGAGGAGGAATCCTCCTCAGTCCTTACCTTCTATCGTGACTCAACAAGAAAGTGGCATGTGTCATTTTAAAAAAAATTGTCAAAACAGTTTTTTTTTTTGTCTGAACCATGAGGTGGTCCTGGATGGGCCCCAACTATGGGTGACACCTTTAAGCCTTAAT